TTGGACAGGCACGCGCCAACCCGGTGTGCACCTTGAGCATGCCCACCATGGGCAAATGTATTTTTTACCAATGGCAGAAGTCACCGATACATCAGTGCATCCCTAGTTAGAAGAATCTATCCAGATCATAGAGAAGTAGGACCAAACATATGCGTGCTCCTCATTCCTACGTATAGTTCTGTGTACAATTAAAGGACGTCTCGTGATAAAAGTCTTGATAATTCATTGGTGTTGGCATGTTATTGCAGCGCTGTGCATACTGGTTTATTACATTAAATTGCAACTATTAAATTCGATAATCTATCAAATATTTCTTGGATCCATGAGCTTTTTTTGCATTTCATAAATCCTTGCAATATTTAGGGCATGTGTCTGTGTGTGGCCCACAGAGTAATGAACACTTTAATACAAAATACATCAAAACAACACTCCCTCCATTATTGAGAGGATGGCTTACAATCATGCAAATGATCTGTTGTGGCCGTTGCATCATTTGTCGGTATGCACCTTGTGAATCTGATTGTGGTGCAAGTGGATGCCATTAATGTATCAAGATAAATAGATGAGAGATACTGTACCTGCTGATTTATTGTATACAACATGTTCACTTCGTTACATTGTTAAGCAGTTGACATGCACAATTTTGCATGAATAATGTATTAAAAAAAAGTGGGAAAGATGTGGTTGTACTGCATGAAACATTGAATAATAGGCCAGGATGAGCAACTTCTGGCAGAGATGTGGCAGCCCTGTACAGCGAGTACATGTGAAGGGGAACAGCTATAGTATTTTCATGTAGAGGGAATACGCTGACCACCAAAGCTTGCACTAGATTTAAGTGAATTGAAATTGATGGGGTTTTTGATGAGGGATAACTGGGAAAGCAGCAGAAGGGGTGGCAACAAAATCCCTACTCATATCAACATGGCCATTTAGTTATGAAAAAAAAGTGTTCTGCTTTTTTGGTAAGAGAGAAGTTAACAGCTTCTCACAGAATAGTAAGTAAGTAAGTAATCTTTATTTATATACCGCCTTTCACAGACCAGAGTCACAAAGCGGTTTACAATTGTTTTTTTTTTTTCGTGGGCAGAATAATGTTACAAAAAGCTCTCGAGCAAAGCCCTACTCAAAACATAATACATTTGCTGCCCAGAAGAGTGGTGCCATCTTCTAACGGTGTCATAAATGTTCATGCACTGGTCTCAAGACTGCAGAATCCAGAGTACGGTGTAATTAAGGATTCCTCTGGATACTTCTTTGTGGCGTCAGATATGCAATGCTAATTATCCACCGCTGATAAAAAGGTGCCAGGTTTGATCTCCAGGCTGCGCGCTGTTTCCTAAAGAATGTGTCCTCCTGAAGCACCGGGGCCTTTCTGCACTCATGCAGTTTAATTTAATGAAGGCTTTTCATTGTTTTGTTTTTAGAGGACAAAGCACTATTCCTGACCATTTTTTAAACTGTTTTGCGCAAACTTCTTTGACTAGCCGGTGCTTACTTCATTATTTGACTAGCAAAATTCACAAAACTAATGTGGAGGCAAAACCTTTGTTTTAAAAGACAGACAAGTTTGAAAGACGTGTTTAAACATATGCGGCCATGTAAGGTTAAGAGTTGTTCCTGTAGAGTATGTGACAGATATTTATTATATTAGCATGGAAACCACTCTATAGGTAGGTTTCAGATGACTGAACAAAGTTGTAAAGTCTAACAAGCTAATTTTTCTTAATACGTCTGTAGAATAGTATATGTCACTTCTAATATTCTTACTTCCAAACAGCCTGTGAAGCACTGCAGCTTTGATAGTGCAAACCCCTTGAAGCTGCAGCTTTGTATAATAAAGTCTGGACGAGCGATTGTTTATGGTGACGAGAGAATTGTTTAGTTCAAAGCAGCCACTACTCAAAGAAACAGCCATTATTACAGAATGGAAAAGACCTGAGATGTGTTTCCTTATAGTGAACAAATCACTTGGGACCAAAACCAACAGCCCAAGAACAAGCAACCAAACATGCATACACGTATTGCATGTCCCTGGGGCAGTCACACACATCACCTGCACTGCAAAAGTTCTTAAATGCACTTGACATAACCTTTGTTGAGCCCTGCACAAAAAAATCCAATGTGTACTGACAGGGCAAGTTTATTTATATGGCACAGTTCATAAAGACAAATGCATAACAACAAATTTGGATTAAAAAAAAATCATAAACGGAATTAAATTATTCACTTAAAGACCTTATGACGGGTTTGATTTATTTAGAAATACAGTTTTAATACCATTTTATATTAGAAGAGAACTACTAAAGGTTTCAAAATCAGTTGTTGTTTTTTTTTGTCTGATCCCCCCAAATCGAAATAACCCCATAGCAACGCCCTTAGAAACGAAAAAACTTCACAGCCCTTGATGACGTCAGAACGGGTACGTTTCAACGCTGTAAGTTGTTTACAATTTGGTATTCGTTCTTTTTTCGCGGATATTCAAGATGACAAGGCCGTGTACAGCGAGTGAGACATAACTACTAGAATGTCACATTTCGTTGTCACTGAGATAGTCCAGTGGTTGTGTCAATGGACTCCCAATCCAGATACTGGGGTTCAAATCCCACCTCGGACACTTTTTCACACTCAAAACGGCAATTTATGTGTAGTGAGCAATTGTCACCTGTAGAGTGCAGTATTGAGTTGGGCATCAGTGGAGAGAAGAGAGAAAAGGCAGTCCTGTGGCATAGATCCATGGTTTTCAATGCATGGGCGTAACCCGCTATGACGTCACACACAGGTTAGAGCATAGACAACTTAAATTCATGAAAAACACGTTCTTTTTATAAAATATAGGATTTTTTTTGCCGGAATCTCTTTCAAATTTACATTGTCATGCAATTTTGATATCCACTATTTTTTTTTTAAAAACCCGTCATAAGGTCTTTAAAATCATAAACAATCACAGGCAAATAAACTTCTTGATTGTTGGCAATAAAATCAATGAAGTAGAACTTGAAATTTAATAAGAGACTTTGCTTTTCTTTTCTTCAAGTAAAAGCAACCTTACAATAGCAGAAAGTGAAATGTTTGATATTCTCCCATGTCCCATACAACAGATGCTACCAAAGACTACAAGCTCAAAACTACCTGTCCTCAGTAGAAGAGCGCTGGCCTCTCAACCGTTAAAGTCCACATAGTGTTTCTCAGCGCGCCTTGTGAATGCAGGTTATTGTTAGACATCCATCAGATTTATCAGATCATAGTGAAATCCCGCAGCTCTTGCACTGATGAGATTAGGGGCCAATAGCCTCTAAGAAGAGTCCATTCTGCAGACGCACAGATGTGACAAATACCACATCGCTCCCACATTTTCAAGCAGTAAACTCGGCTGCCACTCTGTAATTAAAATACATGCATGTGTGACTGAGTACCTCACAAGAACCAAAACATCTTTTCTTGTTTGCATTCAAGATCTATTCCCCAAGGATTCAATTCATTTGTCAAAAGAAAAACATTCTGCATCAGATTGATTTTCTTGTCTTGCACCAACTGCATATTACTGGCATGTTTGAAATAAAACCACCACCCGCCTAATCCTTTCAGTCTGTAAAATGGTCACATTTCTTTATTACAAAATGGTTTTTGTTAACTAATGACTGGAGTTTTTTTTATTTTTTATTTATTTTAAAGATAAAAGTAGCTATTCTTCCTGGAAACAGCTCCATATGGTGTACAATGCAGTACGCAATACAACTTACATACTTTATCTATTTTATACATGATCTTTGTCTTTGAAACCAGAATATTTTAAAGCTCCTTTGCTCAAACTGTGTAAACATGCATGTTTGAAGGGAGCAGGCTCAGTGAGGGCCAGGTGATTTTTTAAAGAGACAGTGTGTATTAATGAAGTGCTATGGCTGTAAATAATCTGGAACTAGCTCATTTGTAGTACCATTATAAAATGACACAGTTTTGTCAATCCAAGTGTCATTATAATAATTCTATATAAAGCCGCTTCAAGTCTGTCCAGAGGTACTGCATGTTATGGATTGTAACATATCAAACAAGAACATAGATTTCCTTTGTCCACATTTATCTCTGGAGACAAAGTACTAGAAGTGGATAATTGGTGAGGTAAGTATTCCACTTATTTCCAGATGAACTCCCTCTGGGGTGATGAATGGGCCGGTAGTGGAAACTGTTCTCAAGAGGGGCTATTTCTGAACATGAGGCAAGATCTACGTGCCGAGGAGCGAGTTAAAATATGATCATTTTTGGATCTATTACCTGAAACACATCAGTTAGTTTAGATTGTAATATTGCCTTTTTCATGCGGTCATAGTACGTCTCCTTATATTAATGAGGCAAAATCCTCATGTTCAACCATTTCCATCTATATAGAGTGTATATTAGCAGCGCTGTCGTTACCATAGTGTTTGACTAATGTGGAAGATGCCAATTTGAACTTACGCTAGCCAGAACCAATTTCCTTATGTGGGCTTTTGCTCTGACTGGGTTAGCTTTGCGTCGTAACCACAGACTGTCGTAGCAAGGACAGACATGTTGCTAAGATGGTTGCTAGAACAAACTGTACTTTACAACTCGAATGAATGCATCTGATTGGTCAATCCTTCTATGGCTCATGGATTTACAAAGACAATAGGAAAAAATATAAACGCTAACAGTTACTGAGCTACAGTTTACTTTTCAATGTAAGTCAATAGTAGCAAGAGCAAGTTGTAACAGTATTTCATCCACAAGCACTTCCCCTTTGGCCTTCACTTGAGCACGGAGATTGGCATTGTCCATCTACAGTGGGGCAAATACTTATTTTCCACCATCATTTGCAAATAAATTCTTTAAAACTTAGATGTTTTTTCTCATAGTCGTGGTATGAAAATTACAGAAATCTCTCATACTTAAGTGGGAGGACTTACATTGGCTGACTAAATACATTTTTGTCCCACTGTACATACAGTATATGCATTATTACATCATTTCTTGTCAACACTTACCTCTAGCATCAAAAAACTCATCATCAGAGCTGTCCACTGACTCCTGTGCAATGTTCTGCAGACACCAGTGCGGGCTGCTGTGCTTCCGAGTGCCTGTGAAGGACAATCATTCATTCAGTGTTTTCCAAATATGTGTTAAGGCAATATTTTCTGTTTTATTTGCCGCCTCAATTGCAAAGGGTTGTCCCCTCGACTCTCACAAAGGGGCATTTCTGAGAGAAGGCAAAGAACACAAGTGTTGTTGGAGGAAAGCCAAGATTATGTAACTGGAGGGGATTTCATGCAATTCTCATTAATCAGCAATATTCATAACCAAACAGCACAAAGAACAAAAAACATATCAAAGCACCAACAACTGCCTTAACAAAATTGCGGTTTTACAATGGTACTTTGATGTTTGGCCAAATTAAAATACTTTTTGTTTTAAATACACCTCTCATGTTACCAACTTCTTTGAGGAACTGAGAAAGCACATAAGCTATTGTGCAAACTTATACAAACTTAAAAACAATGGGCCTCTTTCACGAATAACTTTGTAAAGCCTAGTGTATACTTGCGCGGCATGGCTTACGTTAGCGGTTGCGGTGGACCTACGTAAGCACAATTGATGTTATACTGGTGCGTTCCCCTTACGGAGTTTTGAGGAGAATGTTGTAATCCCACAACAACCCACATGAGGGCGATCACACAGGAGCGGTCCCATTTACGCTGCTACTTTGTCCTCTTCAGAACAACAATAGCAAACAAAGCTGTTTGAGCTCATTACACGTGTTTCTACTGCAGGTTTATGTGACAGTTTTATGGATTCATTATTTTATACGTCATTTCAACTGTGATGCTGTGAATAAAGACACTGTTCTTGTTGGAAACATAGTTATTATTAAATAGTTTTCAGCACAAACAGCAAAACAATAATAGTGGTAAATATCTGAGACAAACATGAACGATTTACGAGTGGAGGAGGAAAGCAACAAACGCAGCTACGATTCAAACAAGACAGGAACAGTGCAAAACAAACGACTGCACAGTTTATAAGTTATATATATGTTAGATAGTCCACTGTCTCCTGTATATCAGGCTCTGAGCCCAAACTGCTTTTCCTTCGAAGCACAAAGCTCTCTGCTCCATAGTGCCTCGTCCATTGTCCCTGCTGCAGCCGCTCTGTGCTTCCTTCCAATACACACACACGGACCAATCACAGCGGAGCTTCCTTGTGGCGACCCTTACGTAGTTAGAACATTTCGATGCTGCGCGGCAGGCGACGTAAGGGCCTTGCGGTGACCAACGCGTTGCGCAAGTGACGTCACGTCACCTCCGTAAGCTCCGCGCCGCGAGAGTATAAACTAGGCTTTAGAAACTTCTTAAATTTCTTCTCAAGTCGTTCTTAAGTAGATTTCTAAGAAGACCCTAAGTGGGATTCATCAACGCACTCTTAAGCCGCTGAATTGTTCGCAGCTGTTCTCTCAGATTGATGAATGCCATTTCCTCGTAAGTAGAGGTGCGTACCAGGTGCTTCATTAGCATAGGTACTTAGCATAGGTAACCGCCCAATAATGCCCATATAAGAGACTGCAGGGCCGTGTGCAGACGCCAGAGGAAACCGCAACATGCCTGAAGCAAAGAGTTACACGGAGCAAAAGAGTCACCCTTTTTTCTTCTTTTGCCAAACTGAGAATAAAGTTATAAAATGTTGGCTTAAAAGTTGAAATATTATGAGAATAAAGTCGAACTAGCAAAATTATTAGATTAATCTAAAAATATGATGAGATTAATCTCAAAATGTTATGACCTTAATTTAAAAATATATTATGTATAAATTTTATTAAATTTAAAAATGAATCTCAAAATATTTTGGACCCTGGGAGGAGATCCAGCTCGGACCAGCGCTGAGACTAATGCAGACCAGAGGAGAGACTGGAGTGACCAGCACACAGAAACCAGCGCGGACCTATAGAGAGAGACCGCATAGACGATAGACTGGAGAGACCAGCGCGGACCCGTATGGATCCAGGAGCGTGCAGCACGGACCCGTATGGAGAGACCAGTGCATACCCGTAAATTTCCATGGGAGAGACCAGCGCAGAGACTCAGCGCGGAACCCGCAACCTCCTGCAGCAGCAGTATATATGCCATTTTTCTGTGGCCCGTGGATAAAGAAATGCCCCCTATAAATAGGATGGGGTCACTAATACACGGCAAGATTTCCAATGTATTTGATAAAGCGTTGGCACATTTCATTTCAAAATGAATTTAAAAATAGGCTAAATTACCATTAACAATTAAATAAATAAATACATACATCAATATGACGGACATATCACTGTAATGTTGTGTTTTATTGAACTTCATAACACCAGCGTGCGAACATGTCTCACTCAATGTGCGTACGAGTGCTCCTGAGCATTCGTAGGATTTGTACGTACCCAAGAGAAATTCTGGTTACGAGAAGATTTCATGAATGTCCTTCTAGACATTAACTTACGAATCTTCGTAAGTAGGATTTACGCACAAATTTGTTCTTAAGTACGGTTTGTGAATGAGGCTCAATAAACCTAAAGTAAAACAAAATAAAGACACGTCAAAAAACCTTTGATTCCAGAAGAATCTAATGTCAAGAACAGCTCAATAAAACGTAATTCAACCACAACTATTTTAATTAACTTCATCCAACAGCATTTCATCCTTTTCATAATGTAAGTATGATGTACACTGCATCCTACTGCAGTGAACCGTCTGTCAATTACCTCGTTTTCTTTTCTTGGACGATGGTCAACTCTGTTCTTATACAACCACCAAGCTCTAAAGAATTTCTAAACTGCTACTGATAAACAACACATTAAAGCTGACCAGCTATGTAAATATCAGATAAAATGCACAATTATGTTTTCTGGGGGTTTTGGATTGGAGGAGTGTATTTTGAGGGTCTGGTATGAGGCCAATACTTTGGCAAAGAGAAACCCTTTGCCTCGCGGAATCATTTGATACCTCAAACTGCTGTCAAACTGCTCTCTCCACAAGAGTTCACGAGTTGTCCGTCCGCTGAGGCATCCAGTAAACCTTTTATAGCAGGTTCAAGTCTTCAAGCGATTGCCCCACTTACATGTTCTTTTTCCACAATGGTTCCCAAAAAGTGCTTTCTAAATAAAGAAATGGAGAAAGAAAAGAGACTTTTAAGAGGACATAGGGCATCAAGTCAATTTTTGATGCCTGATATAAAAGTAAATATCATTTTGTATATTAATGACCCTTATGATGTGTCCAAAACATTACGTTTTGCGCTATTTGCAGATGACACAAATTATTTTTGTTCCGGGACAAATTTAAGAACTTTAATTGATGTTGAAAAAAAAAAATGATCCCACTTGCAAAATAAAGTTCATGTTGTTCACGTATCAATAATGTGTGGAAAATATTGAAGTATTTAAAATAAAATTGAAAGGGTTTCCGGAATCTGTTTTTTAGGCATCATAATTGATGAAAACTTAAAATGGAAGCAACTCATTGGTCATAAAAAAAAAAAATCTGTAAAAATGTTGCCATTTTGACCAAAGTAAAGTATCTGTAAACTACAAGGCAATGCAAACATTATACTGTTCATTGATCCTCCCATATTATACAGTATTATGTATTGCTTTGAAGTCTGGGGCAACTCCTACAATACTATTTTAATACCTTTAGTCATTCTACAAAAAAGAGCTTTACAAAAGAGAACATACAACTAAACTATTTTTGAAGTCAGGTCTGTTAAAAATGAAAGATTTCATTGTATTACAGACATTGTTAATTATGTTCAATGTTCTTAGTAAACAATTAAATCAGCAGAAGGAAGCTGGAGCATTTAAAAATGCCTTTTACAACAACAACACTCAAACAAATGTCAATCTCATTTGTGTAAAACTCTGGAACTCTGTGGACGATGATTTGAAAATATGTTCAAATACAATTTAAGTTTAAATGTAAACCAAAAAAATTATCAAATCCTATGTTAAATGAAGAGAGAAATAATATTGCAATTGTATTTGTTGTATTTTGACATGAAGCCATCTATGTTTGTTGTCTTACTGTCATAAGATTGGGGTAGCTTTAAAAAAGACTGTCTTCATCCTACTACAATTCTTCATGTGACTGCAGTGTTATTAAAGAACAAATGATTTTAAATGAAATAGATAATGTAAATACATTCCAAAAGACCTTCTATGACTCTGTGGTGGCATCAGTCACCTTAGTGTGGTCTGCTGGAGCAGCATCGCAGGGACAGGAAGAAGCTGGACAAGATCATCAGGAAGTCCAGCACATTGAAATTTCCCCACTGTGGGACGAATAAAGGATATCTTATCTACATCACTGTTCTGCAGTGTGACCATGTTTTAAAGGTCCAATATTACGCGTTTTGTCTTTTCTATGTCTTAAATGCCATTACAGTGCTATTTGGCTTTCATAAACATGCCTAAAGTTGTTTTTTTTCCTTTGATTTCTTCAAACTTTTGTTAGAGAGCCATCTTTCTCTTTTATTCTTGAGAAGAGAGGAGCTAAACACCTTTACCTTTTCAATTTGATGATGTGGCACCAATCTGCAGAATCCCGCCTCCAGGAGGCGCTCAGCAGTGATTGACAGGGGGACAAATCAAAACCGACACGCCCACAAACGTGACTAAATCAGCGCACACAGGCTCTCGCTGAGTGTCACTGAGTGGAAAAGAGGGGACGGGCTGTGGTCTCGGCTACATCCCCACACGGTTGGGGGAGGAGCTTTAGAGACAGGAGCATAGAATCACTGGCTTCAATTTAAGTGACATCACCTTTATACAAGAAATGGCTACAAGTTTTGAGTGTTGTATGGCGTATCACCCAAAATATTCTCACACATATGATTAGGATGGACAGTGAAAGAGGAAGATAAAAATATGGGACATTTAAGGTTCAAAAGAAGTAAGATCAACCATCATACACTTAAATTAAACAACACTGTCTTTTTGCGGTCTGTCATCTTTTTTGACATAACGTTTTGACAAAGCTTTTCTCTTTTGTAAAGCTCCAAATTCAAACTATTCCAAAACCTGGAAGAGCCTGGCACTTTACACATATGGGCTATA